GGTGGGGTGGGGGTGGGGTGGGGGGAAGCCAATGGCAGCCAGACGGGGAGAATAAAAATAGGCTGGCGGCAGGAAGAGACTTCAGTTGCAGGATCACTAGTGGATTCTGGTCTGGGAGTTGGGATTCCCCTGTGTGTGTGTAACATCGATTAAGTTGGGATTCTTCATGTTTAGCTTGGTTTACTTTTCCCTAATGCTAGTTCTGCCACTCACTGGCCATGAGACCCTACGCTGTCCGCCTGTTTGCGAATGAGCGGGAGGGAATGCTCCAGCCTGGGGACCGCAGGTGGTTGGTGACTGCGCCCCGTTCTCCTGCCAGGCCTCTGCCTGGAGGGCGTGCGTGCCTCCGCTTTCAGCGACTTCCTCCCCCTGACGCTAGGTGGCGTGCCAGCCGCAAAAGCTCACGCCTTGCTCCCAGGCCTACCTTTTTTGTGGCGTGTTAGTGCGCTTGAAGCCATTTTCTGTGGGGATTTCCCGTTGTAGAGGTGAGGGTCAGCCGGTAACTGTTTTAGGCGTCGCAGGCACCATGCCATCCATCCGCCTTGCGGTGCAGGGGTGCCCTGAGCAAGCGCAGTTTAGCTTCCAACTAAACTTCATCAAGCGGTGTGGAAATGCAAACTTCATATGCTTTTCATGGGTGATGGACTTTTTTTTTTTTTAATTTAGTTGTTCATACAAGAACTGGGGTACAGGCCAGAAGTGGCGGGAAGGGGTTCAGAGGAATTACCAGAGACAGAGCAGGGAGCAGAACAGGCAGATCTACTGAAACACACTGCTGAGGGGAGCAGCGGGGAGACCGGAGAGGTCTGCTGTGTCCTGTGGGCCAGCTCCGGCAGGGATCGAACTTATGCTGCAGTGGCTGTGGAGAGCTTCCTAGTGCTGCGCTTTAACCCCTGTGCCACCAGGGAGGCCCGAGGTGAACTGTTCTTTTTCTATCATTAAAAAAATTGCACACAGGCTGCACACAAGCAGGTAGCAGGCTGGATTTGACCTGTGACCTCTAAGCTATAGTTGCTCTGTTACAGTTGATTCACAAGATTGCTTCCAGTGCAAACATGTCATGATTTTGTACTTGGCTTGACTAAAAATTACAGTCCCAAGTGTCTGTAATCCCACTGATTGGTCATTTGATTGACAAAGTAGAACCATGTGTTTCTGATTGGAAACACCCATAACCAGCTGGCCCTCCCTGGTGGCGCAGCGGGTTAAAGCACAGCACTAAGAAGCTAAAGCCACTTCCGCATGAGTTCGATTCCCGCCTGCCCAGAGGAGATCCACATGGCGCAGCAGACCTCTCCTGACCTGCCCACTGCTCCCCTCAGCAGGGTACTTCATTGATCTGCCTGTTCTGTTCCCCACTCTGTCTCTGGTGAATCCTCTCACCCTCCACATCTCTGGCCTGTACCCAGTTCTATATGAATAAATAAATCTTTAAAAAAAAAAAAAAAGGATTATCGTTTTTTAAAATTTCCTTTCCTTTCTCCGGGATAACAGGCCTCATGCCTTCTTGGGTGTCTACTGAGCTAGGATGGGGAGAGCCCGGAAACGTGGGCTCCGGATGAGCCCAGCGTGGTGAGCTGTGTGGGTCCCGCCCCCATGAGGCAAGGAGCTTGGAGATTCTCTTCTGTGAGAGGCACCTGAAATGCTGGCCTTGGGCCTGGGCTCTACGTCTGTCTCCAACGTGAATGAAGAAGGGTCTTTCTGGGTCTGGACCACAGCAGCCTCCTGCCCCTGGACACCACCCTAGACTGATTCCGCCCTGAACCTGCTCGGCCTTCTCAGGCTCCGGTGGCCACAGCCAGCCTGTGCCCTGATGACAGTCACCCCTTTGGTGCAGAGTGGCATACATAAGCTGTCTTTTTTATTGATGCGACATTGTGCAGGGTAAATGAATGAATCTGGATTTTTATGCTACTGCCTCTGGCTGTCACCTGCGGCCTTGATCGTTTCATGCAGGTGCTTGTGAGCTTGGGCAGCTGGAGTGTGGGTGTGCACACCTGTGTCCGTGCAAGCCTGAGTCCGGAGGCTGGGATAACGGCAGCAATGAACAGGACCCGTGGCGTGAGACCAGAGAGAATGAAGAGAGCAGCCAAAGAAAGGCTGTGGAGGTGCGGGGGTCTTTCCAGGCCGCTGCCTGCCCGCCTCCCAGCCCCCTGCCCTGCTGGTGCCCATCTCCCTGCCCAGTGGCCTGGGCAGTCTGTCGAGTCCAGAGTGAACCTGCCTGATTGGTAGCGCAAGACCAAGCGTAGATTGTAACGTCTATAAACTTCAGGTGTTCGACAATCATATTGCATAAACATCACACGAAGGTTGCCAAGACCAGACCTACCTCCTTCCCCTTCTAATCTACCTGCCCTTCCGGCCCCAGTTCCGGTAACCTGAATGGGCCTAGTCGCCCAAGGCTTGTTTTCTGTAGTCAGAGGCGCTCACTTGCTGTTGCAACAGGGCTGCACATTCCTTTGCTGGGTCCCACCTGCTCACGACAACCATGTCCCTCCTCACCGGCCCTCAGCCTGAGGCCTGGCGGGGGGGTTCCAGCCAGGCTGGGTCTCACTCTGCCTACTCTTCCTCCAAAACCGTGCCAGCCCAAGGGGCACCCGCAGGTGAGGCACCTGACCCCTAGAACACTTGGCTGGATGTGGCCACGGTGGGCATGCTCCTGGCCTTCTCGCCAGTGGGTACACAGAGCTTGGTCAGAAGGCCAGCGAGGGCCCATTCTGTGCCAGTGTCAACCTCCCTGTCCCTCGGCTGAGAGAATGAGAGGGAGACAGTCATTGCAGCTGCCCACAGTCCCGGCTTCATGGTTGGGCTGCCAGCGGCTCCCCTCCGTACAGGGTGCCTGGTGGCGGAAGCGACAGCTGTCTCCTAAACTCGTACACGGGTTCTGAACACACACCCTTTGGACAGCAGAGCCCACCCACACGTGCCAGGCCAGGTCTTGGTGCCCAGAGGGCGTTGCAGTGCTCCAGCTGCTAATTCTGTTGATGCCCGCTAGGGGTCAATACCCGTGACTCATCCTGTTGCAGGAAGTGCTACTGCAGCTTCTGAAGGGCTTGCTGCTCCCTGTCCTTTGCCCCAGTTCCTGGGCAGGAAAGAGTTAATGGGGAGGCCACTCAATCAGGAGTCAGACTAGAGGTGGGGGGCAGGTACCTCCCCAGGAAGAGGCCTTCACTACCCCTCCAGGTATGCATGAGTTAACACAGTTACCCAGGGAAAACTTTCTTGGCAAAGCATGACAGTCATACTTATGGGCAAAAAGAATTAAAAGTAGGTTCCTACGTACTCTCCAGGAATCCAGTGGAAGCTCTCGCCCAGTGACCGCCGAGTGACCAGTGACCAGTGACCGTGAGGCCCTGGGAGCTCTACTGGGTGTTACCGAAGGGAGTTGAAGTTTGACAAGTACTTTTTACAAGTTGAGTCTTTGAAGGAAGAAGGTCAAAACAAATAAGGTAAAGTGGAGAGAAATGACCTCACATAGACTTTTAAAAAGTGAATTATCCAATCTTTTATTTCTGGTTTGGGAAAAAAAAAACTTAAATTACTAGAAAAATATTTACAGGACTAACCATGTTAAGCCAGAAGTCTGCACAGGAGGCCACTTCACTCAGTGGTCAGGCTGGGGCAGGCGACGTGATCTGCCTGAGGGTCCCCCTCATTTTCTTGGGGGGTCCCAGTCTCCTAATGACTGGGTGCAGCCAGCAACGGGCAGGATGCCAGTGCCACTTTGCCAACAAATGATTTACATGTTTTTTTTTTAAAGATTTATTTGTGCATATAGAACTGGGGTACAGGCCAGAGGCTCAGGGGCGGCGAGAGGCTTCACCAGAGACATGAGAGGCTTCACCAGAGACAGAGTGGGGAGCAGAACAGGCAGATCGACGAAGTACACTGCTGAGGGGAGCAGCGGGCGGGTCAGGAGAGGTCTGCCACGCCATGTGGTCACCTCCAGGGCAGGCGGGAATCGAACTCATGTGGAAGTGGCTTTAGCTTCTCTGTGCTGTGCTTTAACCCGCTGCACCACCAGGGAGGGCCCCGCAAATGCTTATCTTGATATCAAAATTTTTTTTTAAAGATTTATTTATTTATTCATACAGAACTGGGGTACAGGCCAGAGATGTGGAGGGTGAAAGGATTCCTCAGAGACAGAGTGGGGAGCAGAACAGGCAGATCAACAAAGTACACTGCTGAGGGGAGCAGTGGGCGGGTCAGGAGAGGTCTGCCACGCCATGTGGTCACCTCCGGGGCAGGCGGGAGTTCGCCACCAGGGAGGGCCAATTTACATGTCCTTTTAGTGTTTCAGATAAATCTCATTTTGACTTGGATTTCTCTTTAGCATCATTCTAGAAACTTGCGCAGTTTAGAAAATTCTTGAAAAAACTAAGCTGTCTCCCTGAGACCCACCACAACCCCACAGTCTGCTGTAGGAGGCAGGGACATGGGGTCCAGGGCCTGGCAGGGCGTCACCAGCTTCCAGGGCGTGGAGTCCTCGTCCGAGGTCCTGGCCAGTGCTTTGGTCCACAGCGCTCTGGAAACTATCAGTCCTTCTCTGGAGTCACAATCACGGACACAGAGTCCCACGCGTCATCCTTGGGGGAGCTGTCCTTGTCCAAGGCCTCCAGGATCGGCTCCGTCGGGTTCCTTAAGTACTGGAAAAGGCCGGACACCAGCACCGCGATTAGTCTATCAGCTCGGGACCAGCCTTTTAAGCGCTCGCTGCAGTCGCTGCCATCAGACTACTCAGGTGAAGCCTCCTGTTCTGTCCACGGGAGACAGCTTCCACCCTCCCTGCGCGAAAACCTCTCACCAGCGCGAGGACAGACGAGCCAATGTTACAAGCACAGGGCAGCCGGCCACGACTCTCCAAACCTGACTTCTCCGAGGAGGGCGTGGGCCTTTGGGCCGCCTCCAGTGGGGGCCAGAGGGCAGCCCCAGCTTTGCTTCAGCCCCTGCCCACCCCGGTGGTTTCCTCCACGCCTGGGGTGTCCTGGAGGGGCAGGAGGGCCAGGTGCCGCTTACACAGGGAGCCAGCGAGCGCCCTGCAAGGCCTCACTTTCCCTTTCGTCCCGCCTGCGTTAGGCTTTCACCAAGTTACCCAGAAGCTAGCACCGGGCTCTTGGAAACACCGCCAGTTGGGGAGATGCAGTTAAGCCTAGGCCTGGCTGCTTAAAAGAGGAAGCTGGCGAGTCACATGCTCTTGTGAAACCTCAAAAATACATGCGAAACATGATTCACAGTTCTCATGTAACTTCTGTGACCTTTGATATACACTTCACACTTTCCCAGGAAAGTGAACTGAAAGATTTTATGGTTTAGATGCAAACCCCAAAGCGACGACGAGTCATCAGTCCCCTCCCCACGGCCTGTCGGTGGGTTCACTGAGAGCCGTTAATGACTGATTATTAACGCCGGTGAAGCCCCGGGACCCCCTAGGTCTGTCACTGGGAGACAACAGTAGCCAGAGAGGGTTTTTTGGCTTTTGGGGGGAGGCGTTCTTACCACACCCCAGCACACACGGGGCACAGCAGGTTTCTAGAACTCAGTCATCTTCCTACCGGAAACATGGACCAGCTGACCAGCAGCTCCGCCCTCAGGGCTTGGTAACCACCTTTCTACTGTCTGCTCTATGGTTTTTAAGGCTTAACTTTTAGATGAAGTACCTCCCTTTCTCACTGTCCCATCACGGTGAATTTTTGGACAGGGTTTGATTTCTCCCTTCAGGTATGATCTCTGAGGTTCTCCCACCACCACGCCCCGGTGATCTATCACCCCCATCCCTGTGATCTCCCCTCCTTTGTTTGAGGCTCCTCCACCCCTCCCCCCACCCCATGCCTCAGTTCCATAGCCAGCTTGCAACATCTTGCTTCTGTGGCTTTGTCTTAAAGAAGGGCATGATGCCTTTTGCAGCAACATGGGTAGAGCTGGAAGGGACCATGTTTAGTGAAATCAGCCAGAAAGAAAAGGAAAAATACTGGATGGCTTCACTCATAGCAGGAGTATAAAGGACCAGGGGAAAATAATAATAATAATGAACAACTATATACCAGAGACATTTTATGGGAGTGGAGTGGAGAATGGGATCAAAAATGGGGGCGGAGGGGGAGTGCACTGGACTATGGTGATGGCACATGGGTGATCTGGGGATGGGAGGCCCATGGGGATTACAACTGAGATGGAAAAAGACACAAAATGATGTAAAAATAAACTATTATGTTATTTTAAAAAAAAAGGCATGGTACAGTACTGTCTTTTTGTGACTGGATAATTTCAGTCAGCATCATGTCCTCCTACCAGGTGGGCCACAGTCCACTGTACGGCCACACCACCTGGCTTTACCCATCCCCATCTGGGTTCTCCCATCTGTGAACACCGCCCACACCAGGGGGAATGCAGATCTCTGTTCTGCGGCTTTGTCCACGCTGTGCTGGGAGGTGTGACCAAGGGGCCGCGGGGCGCTGGCTGCCCACCTACCTCTTCTATTTGTAATGGGATGCTCGGCGGAGAGTGAAACCAGTACTTGACCAGGCCTTTGTACTTCAGCACCAGGATGAGAAAGACGCTCGTCAGCGCCAACAGCAAGATGGTGCCCATGGTGACCGGGATGACTGGCTGGAGCCTGGGAGAGGCTACAGAGGCAAACAGAATGACCATCACGCCCAGGACACAACAGCGGGTCACCAGGGCCTTGATGGTGTCATATCCCAGCACGGTGGCCAGTGGCAGCCACCGCCCCTCCTCCGGCCCTTCCTGCTGGAATCAGCCACCCACGAGGGCGCTTCCATCAGCCCCAGCTGGGGACGCCTACAGGTCAGTGCTGGTTCCTCTCTGGGTCTCCCCACCCACCACCCTTGACCCACAAAGTGTCCCGCCCCCAGCTCACTATTTAAGACCCAGGTCAGACAGGACACTAAAGCCCATGTTACCATCCGCTGCTGTTTCGTGGCAAGACACGAGGCTTCGGAGCCCGGGACTGGACAGGCCTGTGTATGCCCCCAGCAGCTGTGCCTGCACTTGTAAACAGTACACGCTGGTGGGCTTCAGACCGTGCAGCTCCAGGTTAGTCTTGCTGAAAGGGCCTTCCACCTACGTGAGACAGACGCGTCAACAGCCACGCCGGGAAATCACCCTGTCCATGCTCTCGGGCCCCCTGTGTTTCCTCAAGTTCTCAGTGAACATAACTACCGCAGGTGAAACTGCTTCTCAAGCGTCTCTGGGTGCAGCGGAGGCTCTAGATGTGGAAGTCTGGATGTGAGTGGACAAGGAGCCGTGGTGTCCGGCTGTGCTGGGTGACCGGGCCTGGTGGGCCTGGTAGCCACCGAAGGCCCCGGACTGGAACTGAGGCAGTGTCAGTACCTAGGGCGGAACTTTCTCTTGGAAAATGAACACTCTGCCTGGCGCGGCTAACCCAGTCTAGACGCTTCAGGTTCGTCTCGAGAGAACAGCCATCGAAGGAGGGATTTCTGCGTTTCCCAGCCTGCTTTAGTTTACACTGAAATGTGTCTGCTCCTCTTAACAGTTTTGGCTCCAGTCTGGATACTGTCGAAAGCCGGACTCCCTCCCCCCTCCCTGGGGCTGCCTGTCCCCCTCAACCAGGCCTGTCACCCTCATACCTTAGTCTTTGTAGCTGGTGGTGTCTCTCTGTCATTCTGCACGCAGTTGTTGTTCAGGGAGAAATGAGAAAAAAGATCGACTGTGACCGGGCCTGGTGGGCCTGGTAGCCACCGAAGGCCCCGGACTGGAACTGAGGCAGTGTCAGTACCTAGGGCGGAACTTTCTCTTGGAAAATGAACACTCTGCCGTAACTCTGTGTTATGACCTTTAGGCTTCCTTATAAAGGACTGGTTTCTTATCTGAGTACAGGAGAATCTGCTATCACCATATGAAGTGCTGGTAGCTCACACACTCGACAAAGGAAGGTGAAAGTGCGGTCGTGATGGCTGGCACGGCCATTCAGCTGCCCAGCTGGTGTCACAGGCCCTTCAACTGCCCACAGGTATTGCTACCTGGTCGGGCTGCACGACTTCCAGCGACTCCTGCTGCAAATATTTTATACCTCAGCCCACTTCTGGGTGAGAAGTGACAGCTCACAGGCATATGCAGGTCTATGGTGACTCCTGAATTTGGCCGGCTTAGGTTTTGATCACTTCTATTGCATCAATTTCCTATCTCCTCTGTACATTTTGCTACTGGCTCTGTGAAGATTCTTTTGAAGAATGAGTCTTTATCCAAGGGTCATGAACTGTTTAACCCTTTTTTTCTGGTATCTTCAGTTGGCTTTGAAAGAATAAAAATTTGTAGTGAGCTGGGTCTACTAGTCTTTATAGTCTGTGCCTCTTTTTGCAACTCTACGACGGAAAAGAGGGCAGCTAGCTCAGCGAGCGACGGTAGGGGTTTTTATCTGTACCTGAGGACCTCCAGGTGACCCCCAGGGCGCGGCAGACCTCTCCTGACACCCCGCTGCTCCCCTCAGCAGTGTACTTTGTGAGTCTGCCTGTTCTGCTCCCCGCTCTGTCTCTGGTGAAGCCTCTCACCGCTCCTGTACCTCTGGCCTATACCCCACTTCTGTATGCATAAATTACATCTTAAACAAACAAACAAACAAATTGTATTCCCTATAAATTCCCTTTTCTTCAGTGTCATGGTGGTGGACCACCAGGGCAGAGGGAAGAGATTTTTGCTTATGAGGCCACAAAGAGTGAGGTTAAAGGGCAATGATCCTCTTAGGTTATTTCAGCAGCAGGTTGGCATCTTTAAAATTGAAAAGACCAGAATACTGAGAAGACTAATGTTTGGCTCTGACACCGCCGCCGGGGAGGCCTGCTTGTGAGGTGCCCGGGCTGTGCTGAGAGGATTCCAGAGCTGTCCCACATAACCTAACAGGTGGCTGCCTGAACACACGGGCCTGCTTTCCTGCCGGCAGTCTGCAGTTTTGGTGTGTGCTGGGGAGAAGTGCCTATGTGACCAGCCGCCTGTGAAACCCTGAGCACCGAGCCTCTGTTGAGCTTTCTGACAGACGACATTCAACCTGTGGGTGTTCAAGTGTGTCCTGTGTGAGTCCACGGGGAGAGGGCTCGGGGGAGCCTGTGTCTGCACCCCTGGGTGCTGCCCTGCGGACCTACCCCCTGGGCTGATTCTGTTTCCCTCTCCTCACACAGCAGCTATGAGTCCCACCCAGCTCACCCCTAGCCCTGCAAGCACGGGGCAAACACGGTCTCATGGAAACCAGCTCAGGCTCAGCCTTGAGGAGACCCAGAGACACCCTGTCCTGCCTGCCTGTTTTAAAGTTTTCTTTCTTTGCTATGTCAGAAACTCTGAAGAAAAGAACATTAAGACAAAGAAGAAAAATGTCTTGCCTGTTCCATTGCTGTCTTCTCCCAGTAATAGAGATAATACTGAAAAGTGGCCAAGGAGACATCTATGTCAAAGGGAGGGGACACAGTGATGGCAAGGGAGTCTTCTTCTGGAGTCACCCAGATGACCTTTGGCGGTCCGATGGTAACTGCAAGAGAATGACGAGCAAGCGTATCTGGATATGCACACATACCCACAGCATGCAGAGCGTACACACATATTTACATGTCCACACGCGTTTCATACACAGATGCACTGAAGTTGCCTTCAGGTGCTCAAGAACCACCAGTGGCTGCTCTGGGCACAAGATGTGCTATGGAACTGTCCATCAGGAGGCCCAGCGGGCTGCACCTCCCCCCACATGGTGGCCGAGGGCAAGTCTCTCTGGCCTCCCCAGGGACAGCTCAGGTACAAGCCAGGGGACCCCCATCAAGAGGGGGAGAAGTCTCCCTGACTTAAGAGCCATAAGAGCTGCCATCTCTTGTACCAGCTCCCCGGGAGTAGCTTCCAGGGGGCCCCATGAGGGACGTGCCTATTTATAGGAATCACCACACTCAGCAAAGCCCAAGGACGCAGCTGCCTGCTGCTCACGGCAGAGAAGCAGGTGACCAGGGCTGTGGCGTTTTGACAATAAGCAGAGATGCCTAGAGATACGTGACACAGACCACCTTCATCAGATTTCCGCAGACACTGTGCCAAAGGTCAGCCAAAGGTCAGCTCTTCATGCAGAGGGCAAACGCCCCTTAGCTCCCCCCCCCCCCCATCAGGCCTCTCACTCACCGGACATTTTGTCCAGAGCTTCCCAGGACCAAAGTGGAAGTAGGGTGGGGGTCTGCCCTCTGAAGAGAGCACTGGATCCTGGGTATGGGACCTGGGGCCACCCCGATAAACCTGCCCCTGTGGGAGAATCGACCTGCCTTCCTGCCAGGCCCGGAGGAAGGAGATGGAGCTACGGGCAGCCTCACAGACTGAGCCTGTTACTGTCACCCCAGTGCGGGTCCACAGATCTGGCCGCACCACACAGGGGTCCTGGCCCCAGAGGAGGGGCGCAGCTGTGGCGTGCCTACCCCTAGGGGAGAACTGTCTTTCCCCCCAGCATCAGCCTTCACGGTCAGCAATGAAGGTTTTGGAATAACACTGCTTTGTTCTAACATCACTGAGAAAAAACGACCTTGGTTAACACTGAACAAAATGTTATTCCAGGACCTGCTTTTGTTCTATGTGCCCATGGAGAGTGCTGCGGACTGGCTGAGCTTGGGTTTGCCCACCACCCCGTTCCTTAAGGTGAGTGGCAGGACTGAGCTGTGTGGACTGTGGGCGGAGGGGAGCGAGGGGAGCCTGACTGTGGGAAGGGGAGCTTCCACCCATGTTCTCTCACCGTTCCGGTAGTGCTGGAACCAGGGCACAGTCACCCAGGGAGAAAACTCCTCGCCCAGCTCGGCCCGGACCCGCAAGGAGACGTTGAAGTGCGTGGAGAAGCCCGTTGGGGTGCCAGTGAAGTTACACCACGTGACGGTGATATTCGTGCAGTTCACCCCTGACAGGTATTTGTCTGTGGCGTTGCGCCAGTCGCTGCTGGAACTGCAGAGAAAAGGGGTCTCTTGTAACTGAGTTCTCTGTCTGGAGAGGGTTCCCCAGGGTATACCCAGGGTCCTCTCCCTACACAGTCACCCACTTAGTGTGTGCGAGTTGACACTTGCTGACTTCACAGTTTCTGAGCAACATCACTAGGATTGATTTTAGAGTATTTCATTCCCCCAGAAGGCCTGTAGCAGTCACTCCCCATTTCCCTGGAATGCCCCCAAGCTCTAGGCCACCTTTCATCTCCTTTCTATGTTTATGGACTTGCCGACTTTAAACACTTCAGATAAGCAGATGATGAGGCCTTGTGTGAGTAGCTCCCTTCCTCAGCCATTGCCCTGGGGCGTTACATTAGCACTTTATTCCTCCTCATGGCCAAATAACATCCTATTGTGTGACAGATCACATTTGATAGATGGATTTGTGGGTTGTTTCAACTTTTGGACTATGGAACATTGGTAAAGAATATTCACATAGCATGAACAAGTTTTCAGTTCTCTGGGATTGGAATTGCTAGGTCAAACGGTAACATC